GCGGCGCCACCGAGGTGGAAATGAAGCTCGCTGATGGATACAGACGTCCATTCCTCCTCGCCCACCTCTGCAACCCCCCCCCCCACCCTCCCCCTTCATTCGTCTTTGTTACCGCCCGCCCCCTCCTGCGTGCAGCCGCTGGTCGTCTGTTTGTAAAAGTCACCGCTGGTGTCGGAAGTCGGGCTGTTTGTCAGAGAAACTCTGAGAGGAGCTCTGACATTGGTCCTTTCAGTGTCACAGCACATTTTCAGTATGAGACGTCGTTCCTCTTACACTAAATTATATATTATATAATATTTACATTAAAAGGATTCAAGGCGAGAGATAAAGAAGCGTTTGTTTTATTCGTGTAGGTTTTTCTCTCTGTCTCTCTGTCGGAACACACGCCCCCTCCCTCCCTTCAGAGTCTATAACAGTTTGTCTTTTGCACCCAAGCAGGTGTCCTTGGATTCCAACTCCTCCATGAACTCCAACACGCCACTGGTCAGGATCGCCCGCCTGTCGTCCAGCGACGGGCCGATGCTGGCCAACGTGTCGGAGCTGGAACTTCCATCCGACCCCAAATGGGAGTTTCCCCGAACAAGGTGAGTAAACCAATATTCACGCTGCCAAGCAACATAGAATTTCAGACCCGACAGATTCGCGCTGTCGTCCTTGTGCCGCGACGAGCTGTGAAATTCAATTCATCAAGGTCACCGTGATTATTGCACTTGACAAACAGATCTCATTTAACTGTGTGATGCAAAGAGGAATTAAATAACGCCCCTCCACGCTCACTGCAGCAGAAATTCCCTCGCTAATGAAATGGTTCTGGTTCCAGACTCACTCTGGGTAAACCTCTGGGCGAAGGCTGCTTCGGTCAGGTGGTGATGGCCGAGGCCGTCGGCATCGACAAGGAGAAACCCAACAAGCCGCTCACTGTTGCTGTGAAGATGCTGAAAGGTAAGTGGTCGTTGGGTTTGCGCTCCAGGGAATTGAACGCGTGACTGTGACGGAGAAGGGTTTCATTTCTCTCTCTTTTTTCATTCTCTCTCTCTTCGGTTCAGATGACGCCACGGATAAAGACTTGTCGGACCTGGTGTCGGAGATGGAGATGATGAAGATGATTGGAAAACACAAAAACATAATCAACCTGCTGGGAGCTTGCACGCAGGACGGTGAGGCCACGGAGGAGCAACGCAGAGGGGATCGAACAGTGGGTGACCGAACGAGTGCTGACGCTGTGATTTGTGTTGGCTGCAGGTCCCCTGTACGTCCTGGTGGAGTACGCTTCTAAGGGCAACCTGAGGGAGTACCTGCGGGCGCGGCGCCCCCCGGGCATGGACTACTCCTTCGACACCTGTAAGATCCCAGACGAGCAGCTCACGTTCAAAGACCTGGTGTCCTGCGCCTACCAGGTCGCCCGAGGCATGGAGTACCTCGCCTCGCAGAAGGTCAGCCGCCACCAACGACAGCACGTGCACTGTTTTATTTAGCCGGGGTCTCTGTCTGTGCACGGCGCCGACCATCCTCACAGCTTCAATTTAAACTTCATTAATGTCCTGAACGAAATAAAAAGACATGAGTAAGCTTTGAAAAGAACTTTCCCCCAAAAAATCTTTTAATAATAAAGTTTTAGGGGAGTGTTACATGCAGTAAATATTCTTTTACTTGACTTTAGATTACACTCTGCAGTGTTAAAGTGAATTTTAAGTGTCTGGACTCAATTTCAAGTGCTGTTTGGATTCAAGGTGAATATTTGTATTAAAGTTGGAGAAGGGGAAATGAAAGTTATCCGCCCGTGTCTGCGATTTACATCTGAGAATGTTTGTGCGTTGTTGATGTTTGTTTGATGCACTCGTCCTTCCTCCCTCAGTGCATCCACAGAGACCTGGCAGCCAGAAACGTCCTTGTGACGGAGGACAACGTTATGAAGATCGCAGACTTCGGCCTCGCCAGAGACGTGCACAATATAGACTACTACAAAAAGACCACCAACGTGAGTTCAGCGCTCGAACATGAAGGGAAGGCATCGACGAGAGCCGGGATCATTCTGCTTGTTCTGCAGTTTTTAAAATGAAAACTTTAACTCAAGTCTCTCGTTCTTTGGAGAAGTAGATTTCTGTTTTTTTTTAACGGTGAGGGCAGAAGAGGAAAAACATATTTGAGACTGAAATTATGATGAATAATTAAGATTTTTCACACATGGGGGAAAAAAGCAATTAAACAAACATTAGTCATAATGATGCATTGCCAAGCGGGAACAGTCCAGAGAGCTTTATATTTATGCTCAGAGTGATATTAATGATTTGCCTGGAATGTTAAACACACGTCTACTTCACTATGTTAATATTTAGACCTCGATTGTTCATTTGTCGGAGATTTCTTATCCTGAGACTGTGTCTGGAGTTCAGGTCAGTCCGTGTAAGGTCGCTGTTTGCGCAGGATGGTTCTGCTGACCCGTGCGGTTCTGTTGTCTGTGTTGTTGCAGGGTCGTCTGCCCGTGAAATGGATGGCTCCGGAGGCTCTGTTCGACCGGGTCTACACGCACCAGAGCGACGTGTGAGTTTGCCCAAACCAACCGTCACATGCCAACTGTCCGCTGGCGTGGAGCTGCCGTACACCGGAGGAATCCGGGTGTTGAAATATCACGACCGGGCCTGTTAGCATCAAACGCTGCGTTCGTGCGTGTGAATATGGAAGCGTTTCCCTTTCCAAATTTCTCCCCCGCTCGCTGTCATCTGCGCTCTCCTGATAATCCCGAGCCTCCTGTGAATTCGCCGGCTCTGCATTCCTCGCCGCGTTTGTTCTCTAATCTCCCGACACGACATCAGAGAGAGACAGAAACGCAGCGGAGCCGCAGCATCGTCCTGTTGTTTTATCACTGTAAGTCCAACCTGCCCCAGAACAGAAGGCGATAAGAGGGTCAGAGGATTTATCAGGAGTTCCTTCAGGCTCTTATCCAACAACTATTCAAACGCACCTTTCCACGACCCCTGATTGCTCCCACGTTGGCTGCGATCAGGAGGAGAAAGGCGAGTCCGGCCGAGAAGTTGGCAGAGTTAGTCTGTCTTGTGGTAGCTGCACCCCCCCACCCCACCCCCGCCTTGTCCCCAGCTCTGCCATCCAAATACGGGACCCTGTCAACACTGGATCACTGGTGTGATTACAGCAGACTGGGAACCGGCCGAGAGGAGAATCAGCCCGCTGTGTTATTTCAGCAGGTCTGGATTACAGAGTCAATCCTCCCGCCAACCCTCCTCCTCCTCCTCCTCCTCCTCCTCCTCCCCCTTCATACAGTAGTCGCTCCGCAGCCAGTTTACTCTCACACACCCCGAGGGACTCTGACTTCTGACCCGTGATGGTTTTTTCATCAAGTAGATTACGCTCAAACAGGCTGAAACACACTAAAACAAATCTGGCGCTCGCACTCGCAGTCAGACGATGCGCAAAGAGCAGGAGGAACAAGTGAACACAACAACGACACCACGGCCCACACAGGCTGACATCACCGCTCCTGCAGCTCTGAGGCCGAGCTGGCAGCGAGGGGAACGCAGGATTCAATCAGTGCAGCTTCACACATTGTGTAGAGAAGCAGTTCACCTAGAAGTGACTTGTCATTTCAATTCATCAGTTCTCCAGACTGTGGAATTTTCCCTTTGCCAGCACCATGGAGGTTTATATAT